TTACAATGGAAAATGAGATGATTTGGTGAATGGAATGAATGGGTATTTATAGGAAGAGAATGGGTGTTAATGGATGTTTGTTTAAGGTATTTGGTGGATGGGAAAAGGTGTGGATGGTGGGAATTATGGTGGATGGATGGTTTAGTGGATGTAATTTAGGGTTTATTTAGGTGAATGTGCATGCATGATTTAGTGGATGTAAAGGATAATGGGATGGTGTGGAATTTAAAAGCTAAAAAAAATGGGATAATGGGCATTTAAGTGTGAATGGAATGGTGGGATGCACTAATGGAAATTATGGAATGGAATGGTGGGATGCACTAATTAGGAGGAAGAATTAGGGTGAAGGGCTTAATGCATGGATTTGGGCCAATTAGGGTGAAGGGCTTAATGCATGGATTTGGGCCTAAAATGCCTCCCCTTGCATGGCAAGGGAAAGGACTTGGGCTAAAGCCCATGGCAATGGCTCTAAAATGGGCTAAGGTTAGGGTTTAGGTCATCTAAAAGCCCAAAGCCAAGAATAGAAACTCACGACAATGGAAACCTCCAAGAATAGAAACTTCCAACTTTAGAAACTTTGGTTACCAATTCCGACTTCCTTGCTCTTCACTTTCATTTCTTCATTTCTTAAGCTCCTTTGACCTTCAACCTCGTTCATTCCTCGTGCTCCATTTGCATACACCACATTCCAGCTCAGTTTTGCTCCAAAAGCTCCCAATTGCATCATTTCATGTAATATGTCCTTTAAACCTGAAAACACATGAAAGTAGCTTAAAAGACTACTTTAACGAATAAAACATAACAAAAATGCATAAGAACTAGCTAACTAAGGCGCATAAATATGCTCCTATCAGGTACGTATGACCAATAATCGAACAATCATTTGTAAGTGCTTAATGAATGCCTTTGCCAAGCCTTTCTGGGTGTGAACATGGGGTACTGGATGTTCAACTTCAACCACAACCGACATGCAATAGTCATCAAAAGTTTTAGATGTGAATTATCCAGCATTATCCAATTAAATAGATTTGATCGAATAATCAGGGTGGTGAGCCATGAGCTTGATAATCTGAGCCAACAGTTTGGAGAATGTAGCGTTCCTTGTGGACAACAAGCACACGTGTGATCAATGTGTGGAAGCATCAACCAAAATCATAAAATATCTAAATGGTCTGCATGGAGGGTGAATCAGTCCATAAATGTCCCCTTGAATCTATTGTAGGAAAAATGAGGATTCGAATGAATCTTGTCATAACAAGGCTTAGTAATAAGCTTTCCCATAGAATATGTTTGACATGCGATTCCTTGAATCGAACCTGTGTGATTTGAGGATACGGCGCATCGTTATTCATCCAGGATGTCCCAAACGATCATGCTAAAGTGTCATTTCGTGTGCGGTCCTAAAGGTAAGGCCAGCCACATAGTGGCATTTTATGAGGCATATGGTCGTAGTATACAGACCACTCAGGATACGCTTCATCTTCTCTAGAATATGCTTTTGGCCATATTTGTAGGAAGTTATGGACAAAAATTCAACTCCGTTTTCTACGTGGGTCTTAGCATGGTAATGTTTATCTCTAATGTCCTTAAAGCTCAACAACGTTCTTTCGGAAAGTGGAGAATAAAGACCCTCATCAATGGTTAAGATTGTACCATTGGACAACATGATACATGCCTTACCGTATCATTCAATCAGGTTGGATGGGCTTGAGAGGGTTGTCAGAGGTGCATTCTTAGGTACGAAGTTGGTGAAATATATGCGTTCACGCAAAACGATGTGTGTGGTTACACTATTTGCCAGACAACTAACTTCCCCACTAGTCATACCTAAAATGAAAAATTAATTTGATTGGATCTCATGCACAAAAGTTCTAAAAAAAAAATATCCATTCAAAATAATTTTAAGTGTTCAAGGACGGAAATTAATTAAGAACTTAATATCCAAAAAATAAATCACTAACAAATAATCCAAACATAAAGGAAAATTGTTCAAAATATAACCAAAAAACAAAGGGAGGGTTCGGCCACTACCGTGGAATTTGACCCCATGGTCTTATTTCATCTAAAAAATAAGTCTATGTCTAAGATTCTAATCTTCCATAGGTGTGATAGCCTCTTGAAAGTCAGAAACCTCAATCTTTGTACTCTCCGAATTGTGCACTTGCACAAAGTTTGATCTAAACTTCTTACGACCAGAATGATAATTAGCTACAACCTTCTGGGGAGCTCGACAAACACGAGACCAATGGTCCTTTGAACCACAACGATAGTACATGTCTACATCTATGGTTTCAGGTGCTTTGCCCTTATTCTTGTAAGTTTGGGGCATTGGGAGAGAGATTTGGGCGTTTTTGGGCTTTGTTTCCTCCCTTGGATGGGCCTTTACTCTATTGACCTTGGTGGGATGGCTTCTGGCCGTCCCTACCACACTTCTTTTGGCATTTTGGGCGTTGATTTGCATTAAAGTGTGCGTCAGGCACAACAGTCGCCCTAGTAAGTCGAGCTTGATGATTCTTCATCAACAGTTGGTTTTGCTTTTCAGTGAGAAGTAAAACATAGATCAAATCCGAGATCTTAGTGAACTTCTGAGCTCTATATTGTTGCTGTATGATAATATTAGTAACATATAAGGTCGAATAGGTATTCTCCAGAAGATCCACTTCAGTTAAAGTTTCATTACAAAACTTGAGAAGTGATCAGATTCGACTAAGTTCAGATTTATATTCATTCACAGACTTTAAAGTCTTGGAAGTGTAAATGCTCCCGTCATGTCTTGCTTCAGGCAAGAATATGTCATTTTGGTGATCACAATGATTAGCCAAGGCGATCCATAGTGCTCGTGGATCTTACTCAGCAAGATATTTAGTTTGCAAGGCATCGTGGATATGTCTTCGGATGAAGATCATAACGGTGGCTTTCTCAACTTTGCCAATAGGGTTATCCGTCTGATCTTCAATGACGGGACGCAAATTCTTTGCAGTGAGGTGGAGTTTCACATCTTGGACCCACTTGAGGTAGTTCATTCTAAAAACCTCCAAAGCAGTGAAGTTGAGTTTGTTCAAATTCGACATGTTCCTATCACAAAATCAAGGACAAGATGTGATTATTGCGATGTAGAAAAAAAAAATCAATCCATTCACGTAGGAGTAGAACATTTATGTTCTAATAGACATGTATTGGTTAATATTCGCATGAAAAAGCTTCGGGTTTTCATGGGTGAAGTTTTTAAGTAAAAAACTTCAAGTTTTCAAATAAGGCATGTTTATAGAAACTTCAAGTTTCGAAATAATTATGAACTTCAGGTTCATATGTTCATGCAGACAAACACAAATATATACACAGGAATATGCAACAAGAAAATATGCAAATAGAACTTCAGGTCTAAAATTGTAATTTAATTAACTATTTGGACTTTGGGCCAAATTTAAAGTGTGGGTGAAAAAAATATATAACCCATTTGGCCTAAAAATAATTAGGCAATTAAACTCAGGGCCCAAAATAAGGCCTAAGCCCACGGGTGGGCTAAATAAATGGTTGATGTGCATCTTATGCCCAAAGTTGGGCGAGTTTGGTCTCAGGTAGGCTGCAGACCCAAAGGGAGAAAGGGAAAATGGGCCAGGCTAAAGCATCGAGCCGCTTCAGGCGAGCCCAAATTTTTTTTTTTTTTTTCGAGTGGGCTGTTTCAGGCAAGCCCAAAAGAAAATGGAACTCTTTTTCCTTTTTTTTTTCGCGGGCCGGTCAAACGGTTTTGGGCCAATATAGGTGAGCCCAAAAAAAGGAAAAAAGAAGAAGGCTGAGTAACAAAGCCCAAATAGGGCTCAGGTTAGGTCCAAAGACACCCTAGCCACAGCTGGGTGTGTTCGCTGGGGAAGAAGGTTGGCGATGCCGCTTCAAGCAGCCGTGCTTTGGGATAGTGATGCTCGTGGCAAGTCCATGGGTCAAGGGAGACCACAAATATGAACAGTGAAAAATCTCGACGTTCTACCAAAACCCTAGAAATACAAATAGGAAAATTGGAAAAATTCCGATGATTAATCGATGTCGGGGACGAACTGCAGGTCGTCCAAACATGATGACCCGTGGGTGAGGATTGGTTGCAGGAGAACTTGCAACAATGGAGACGCTGTAAAAGGCGTCAGTGTTTTTACCCAGGCCATTTTTTTCTTTGTTTGTTTAATTTTTTTTTTTTTTCAATTCAATTCAATTTTATGCATATTCAATTCAATAATCTAATGCATGTACATATATTTGATGCAATTCATGGCAAATATCAAATTCACATAATTCAACAATTATGAGTATATTGCATACACAATTTATGTAGAATCTAAAATTCGAAAAACGTAAAGTTAGGTCATGCATTATGGTGAATGTTCATGCTTTCAGGGCTACAACAATATCGAGATAAAAACTGTTGTTTTGAAAAAAACCTGATTGCGTGATGATATGGATGAACTGGTTTGATGCAGAAAAAGCTTCAACGTCAGATTCCTAAGCGCAGCGATAAGAGCGTGCTGATAACGTGTTGTAGCCTTATCTGACAAGGGAAAGGGGGCCGGCGGCAAGGGTAGAGAGAGAGAAGAGATGTGTTTGTAAAATCGTAGGAGAATTGTGTATTGAGGATATGTTATCCCCCTACGTAGTGTCTTTATTTATAGTAGTAAAAGGAGAGAAGAAATCCCTCATCCCCAAGGAATACAAGTCCATATAGGAAAGCATAACTAGAATCAAATCTAATCTAAGATTTACATAATCACACTTAAACTAGGAAAGTTCACAGCAAGAATTAATTATTTTTTATATTATTCACATGAGACCATATTATAGATTCACTAACATAATTATAAACAAAATCCTAAGGAAAAGACGACATTGATATGCGATGGTCGAAGACTCAAAGTCATGGACCACATTCATCAATTTTCATTGTTAGAAACCATTTGGGATACAAACGTTTTACTAATTTTCTCGTAATTTATTTGTTTTTTGAACACGTGACGCATAACATAAACATACTTAGGGGGATAACATATACCAGAATCAAATCACAAAACCAACACCAAACTAGAAGTTATTAATAACAAGCAGCTTACTGATCAAAGTCATCACAGAAGGCAAGATTTAGATTTTTCTTCTAGTTTTTAAAAATTTTAATCATTGCTCAACTTCCAATCTTTGCCATTTCAGTGTGTGCCTTCCCATCGAGTTTCCCCTTTATGGCCTTCGCCATATAATCTCCAAATTTTATTTTCTTGTATTTTCTTGATGACTCCACCATATGATCAAACGGTCCAACTTCCGCGTCAGTATGTGGAAAAAGAAATGATGCATAAGATATCCTCAGCCTGTTTTCGTTGGGGACAGCTCTATGCTCAATGCTCTTGTACTTCCCATTGCTCCATATCTGTCATAAAAATAATAAAAATTATGTTTAAATATTAACATTGTACTACATACTCAATAATAACCATGCGTACCTCAAGAGCATCTCCGACATTCACAACGAGAGCGTTCGGAATCGGCTTCACCGGCACCCATTTGCCTTCTTTTCGAATCTGTAATCCGGTGACATTATCTTCTTGCATGAGTATGGTTATGGTGGTTGTATCCGAGTGCGGACTTAGAGCTAGTACTTTATCAGGCATGGAGCATGGAGGAGTGTAGTTCACCCGCAAGGCTTGAAGCACCTCTTTATGCAGTCCAAGAAGAGCATCCTTCTCTAGCTCCATGACAGTAGATAGAGACCTTATGAGTTCCTCCCCAATTCTTTTAACTTCACTTGAATATGCCTCGATAGTTTCCCTATCATCATCAACACACTTATCACTAAATTGGAAGTGAGTTTAGTTTAGTTCACTTCCACGTGTGGTTAATTGAATTGGTTTAAATTTTTATTTTTTTTGTGGGTATTACTCTACCGACGTGTAGGCTCTCGCTCAAGTACTATGGTTCTTATCTATTAACTGTGATAAGAGTTTTTCTGGAATAAGGATGTCCACATTGACGATCATGTTTCTGTCTAACATATGTAATTATTGAAACTGTATCAGAGATTGTTTAGCCATTTGATTATCCGCATTTTCATTTCAGCTTTATCTATCGAACTTTATATTTTCGTTGTTTTACAATAGTTTTAAATATGGATGTTTTTTTGGAGAGATACTCCTAATATATAGACGGCTCCAATCATAGGATACTTTAAAAGTAATCCTAGAGGTTTTTTTGGGTGAGGGATTTTCAAGTTTCAAGGGATTGATCTCAAGCTTATTAAGAAATATATAGATCCCAAAATGTTAAATGGAAGGGATTAGAAAAACTCTTCCCTTCATGAGCATTGCAATATGTGAGAGGGATTTGTAAAGGTTTCCTCCCCCAGGTTTGTAAATCTCTCTTGGGAATTTCTAGTTCCTTCTATGCATTAAACATTTTTTAATAACTTGACCTTAATCCCTTGTGACTTGGAGGGAGAGGATCATCTCCGGCCCAACACATTCCTTCTTCTTTAATGGCTGAGTCGGTGTTGTGGCTTCCCCGGAGTTGGTTGTGTTGGCAACATCGTAATAGTCGTGGACCACGTAAAAAAAAAAAAGTGAAGAAGAAGACGCAGAATTAGAGAAGAAGGATTATTGCAGAAGAAGAATTGAAGAAGGCGGCGAAGCACAAGCAAAACTGTAGAGAAGAAAGAAGAAGAAGGATCCGGATGTATTGGGTCCAGAGAGGATCCTCTCCCTGACGTGAAAATCCGTTATTCAAACAAAGCCGGAAAGACTTTTTGGGGTCTTAAAATACTTTATCCTTGCGCATGCTTGCTGGTAGCTAGCACAAGGACATCCAAAAAGAATGTTTGAAGTCCCCGGAAATAAATCGACCCAAAATAAGAAAGTCACAGGAAATAATTTCCCTGAATAATTTAGTTTAGAAATATACCTGAACCCATTTGGTGCAGTTGGCCAAAACTTAAGGTCTCTTGACTGAGCTGGATAAAGGCTTAGAATTAGTGTGTCGGACCAGTCCATTGTCTGCCCTTCGGAAATCGCATAGGCTTGCCCATAGCCCTCACGGCCACCTGACATGCGTATTTTATTCTTCTCTTCTAGAGGAAGTTCAAAGAACTTGGCCGTTGCATCCTTCATCTCCTGCAGCAATTCTGTTGCCACTCCATGATTAACCACCTGCAATCATGTTTAACTATATTATTATATAATAACCTCAAAGTGCCTACCAATTTAGGTATCATGCTGGTACAATGGAAAATGTTCTTTTTCTCAAACTGTTTGACAACATAAAACATGGTAAGTTTGGATAGTAGATCGCATTGATTTTTTTCCAGAATTTGTGTACCTCCACGTTCATTGTTTGTCAACATAAACATTTTGTGTAGCTGTTCAGTATAATATATATTTAGGATACCTGGAAGAATCCCCATTCTTTGCAAGCTTGGTCCAGTTTGTTGAGCTCCTCCTCGTGCCCTCTCGAGAGCAGAGAAAGATCGAGGATAGGGATCTTCGATGAAAGATCAAACGCATCTGCTGTACTCTTTGGCTCGTCTTCTTCCTTCCTGCTTACGAGGAATGATTCAGGGACCTGCAATGGGTTACTTCTTACCATTTCTTGAACATTTGGTGCAAATGCCATCTCTAGGGTTGAAGGGTTTTTCACTCTTGTTTCTTTCTTGTTCAGAAATATTAATGCTTCAGCTTCATTGGTTTCAGATCGATTATTAATGGTGGAGAGAAAGAGACGGTGCTGCTAAGTTACTTAATATAGTGATTTGTTTTTGGGGTGTTGGTGATAGATGATGAACTATATTTTGTTCTATATTGATGTTTTAGTGAAATTAGGTAGAAATAATTTCTTTTGATCAATTAACAATCCTTGCTTGATTCGTACCTTTCCTTTTGTCGAGATGCATAATGATAATATTATTTAACTCCACATGGTAGAGTGATTTTTTAAGTTGCATGTGGGTAGCATTGGTGTTGTATATATTATCTATCTCGTTTCCTGCACACTAGCGTTTAAACGAAAGATCTATACTACCATATAAAGCCAGCAGCTCCATTTGAGGTCGGGTGTTTCATAAAAAAAAGTGGAACAAAAAGGCCCCTCAAAATAATGCATTTGAGGTCGCGTGTTTCTTAAAAAAAAGTAGTGTAACAAAAATGCCTCTCAAAATAATGCATCAAATAATGCAAGGGTATTTTTGTCATATAAACAATGTTTTTCTTATAATTAATTTTTTTATTTTTTTATTTTTTTTACAAACGATATTACCTACATTAAGGGAGATGAGGATGTGTTTAGCCTCACAATGGGTTAGCAATAATGTGATTCAAAAAATGTGTAGTCACGCGTCAAAAAATGTGTAGTCGCGCGTAACACGCCGTGATTAAAAAAAACATTTATTTAAATCATATGATGTGAATGTCAGAATTAATTTAATTAATTAACTCATCCAAATTGAATAGTTAATTAGTAAGCTAAGGTGGATCTTCCGCCTGTCTAGTTTTAATAATCTTTAGGTCATCCCCAATTGAGAGGGTTAAAGGTTAAAAAGCCAAAAAATAGTCTGATTTATCTAAAAATTCATTTCCAACCGATGGCTAAACTATAATTCTATAGAGCCCACCAGACCATTAATTAACCAAAGGGCATCAGGCTAGCTAAATGTAGTCCCCTCTTAGCCTTTTTTCAATTCTTTTGGTTGGAGATACCTCAGTTTCAGAATAGTTGGAGCTTTTACCCATTTTTTTTCGTACTGGTCATGTATATTGGACATTATGGAACTCTGCTTCGAACACTTAATAAATATCGTTAGATACAAAGCATTTTCCTTTAAATACTGACAACCAAAAAACAGGACAAACAGAAAACTCTTGGCTCCTCGCATATTTAAAGTCATACTCTTCCTCCCTAAGAAATCATTGCTCGATATGTCTGCAGAAACTTTTCCTTTGTATGATTTTATCGAGTTCCATTTGCTTATGTGTCGGATTGTGAGTTACAAATATAAAAGAATGACTCCGTATATGTAAGGAGCCAAGCAGTTTTAGCTTGAATTAGAAAGTTCACTGTTTGGTTCTTCCTTGTACAGAAGTGCATAGGATTGCTGACTTATCCAATTTAAAATGGAAAGGATTTCTTACAGAGAAAGAAACCAAAAGAAATGCCTACTGATATTTTTCCATGACAAAACCAAAAAAAAATTCATGATTATTGAGGACTACTTGATTTTAAGTCCTTTTCTTTTCTTTTGTTTACTCTGGCTTTTGTAAATAGAAAACACAATGGATTCCCTCAGCTAATCTCCATATCTGACTTTCTTGTACATCCAAACGGATCGTGGACAATTTCGACATCATCATGTGGTATAAGAAATGTTGCATAAGATAACCTTGCCTGTCGCAGCGCTTTGTTCAATACTATTGTACTTCCCATTACTCCATATCTGTCATGACAAAAACAAATGTGAAGCTCACTTTTCTCAGGTTAATCTAGGAAGACTTTTATAGTATTAGAGAAACATCTCCACGGTGCTACTTGTATATAGTACCTCAATAATATCTCCGACGTTTACAACTAGAGGGTTTGGAATTGGCTTGACCGGCACCCATTCTCCTTCCTTCCGGATCTGTAATCCAGTCACATTGTCTTCTTGCATGAGTATGGTTATGGTGCTCGTATCAGATTGCGGACTATTACCTGGCACTTCATCAGGCATTGTAGAAAAAGGTATGTAGGCTAAAAATATATTTGTTATTGATACATGAATGTGGAAAAATGGAAGAGAATGCAAATGGAAGAGAATGCTTATTTTTTCATTATGTTTCTCTACAAGATTACAAGGATATATATACATGATACAAATGTGTAGGTAGGACAAGGTAGGACGGCTAGTAGACAAGCTAGGACGGCTAGGAGACAAGCTAGGACGGCTAGTGACAAGCTAGGACGGCTAATGACAAGCTAGGACGGCTAGTGACAAGCTAGGACGGCTAGTGGCAAGCTAGGACGGCTAGGAGACAAGCTAGGACGGCTTGACGGCTGTAGGACGGCTTATTCTTCCAATACTAATATTATATACAATTACACAAGGATTCCAACCATATTCCTTATTTGTCTAACACTCCCCCTCAAGTTGGAGAGTGGATGTCAAGAACTCCCAACTTGCGTAACATACCCGAAAACTTTTCTTTCCCAAGAGGTTTGGTAAACAAGTCTGCCAACTGTTGTGCCGTACCCACATGCTTGGTCTCTATTGTGCCATCTACAATCTTATCTCGTATAAAGTGACAATCCATCTCAATGTGACTAGTTCGTTCATGAAAAACAGGATTGGCAGCTATATGTAATGCTGCTTGATTATCACAAAATAAAATGGAAGGACCATCCAAAGGAATGTTCAAATCCTTCAACAAAAAACGAAGCCAAACTATCTCGCAACAAGCACCTGCCATGGCCCTATATTCCGCCTCTGCTGAAGAGAGCGAAACTGTTTTCTGTCGTTTCGTCCGCCAAGAAATCAAAGAACCGCCCAAGAATACACAATACCCAGTAGTCGAACGGCGAGTGATAGGGCAACCTGCCCAATCAGAATCACAAAACGCAGTTAACTTGGTCTGGTTGTCAGAATGAAATAATAAACCTTGACCTGGAGTAACCTTCAAATAACGAACAATACGAAGCGCAGCATCCATATGAGATATCCTTGGCTCGTGCATAAAACGGCTTAGAACATGCACAGAATAGGTGATATCCGGCCGAGTGATAGTGAGATATACTAACCGACCTACTAATCGTCGATACTTTTCAGGATCCTTGAGAAGTTCTCCTTTATCAGATAAGTTTGTGTCATCCATAGGAAAAGCAATGGGTCGTGCTCCCAAAAAACCATAGTCCTTGAGAATCTCTAATGCATACTTGCGTTGAGAAATATAAATCCCTTGTTTGGAACGAGAAACCTCAATACCCAAAAAATATTTTAAATCACCAAGGTCTTTTATCCGAAAATGATCACGGAGAAAAGACTTCAGAGAATTAATGGCACTAGCATCATTGCCTGTAATCACAATATCATCCACATAAATGAGCAAAGCTGTGAAAGAAATACCAGACTTTTTAGTGAACAATGAATAGTTAGCTTTGGATTGTTGAAAACCGGCAGAAATGATGGCACTAGTGAATTTGGCAAACCATTGGCGAGAAGCCTGCTTAAGACCATAAAGTGACTTGTGAAGGCGACACACAAGATTCTCCCCCTGTCGCCGAAGACCAGGAGGAGGAGACATATAGATTTCTTCATGTAAGTCACCATGTAAGAAAGCATTATTAACATCAAGCTGATGAAGAGACCAAGACTGACTAGCAGCAAGAGCAAGAAGACAACGCACCGTAATCATCTTAGCAGTAGGAGAAAAAGTGTCATGATAATCAATACCTTCAGCCTGAGTGAAGCCTTTAGCAACCAAACGAGCTTTGTAGCGGTCAATAGAGCCGTCGGAATTGTGCTTGAGTTTGTACACCCACTTACAACCAATGGGAATTTTGCCAGGGGGCAAGGAAGTTAAAGTCCAAGTACCATTAGCATGTAAAGCTTGAAGCTCCTCAGTCATAGCACGTTGCCAATTGGGGTCAGTGGCAGCCTTGGCAAAGGAGGAAGGCTCCACAGTCCGACTGACAGAGTTAATGTAAGAAAAATGCCTGGGAGAGTAACGGTGATAAGAGAGAAAATTACAAAGTGGATATCGCGTACCTTGTGTAGAACCGGGTTGCGAAGTCGAAGATGGGTGGGATGGCAGAATCACCTGCGAGCAAACGTAGTCTTTTAAATAGGATGGAGGTTTATGGGCACGGGAAGAGGTGCGGGGAAGGGGAGGATTGGTAGGTAGTGGGGGGGGGGTAGGGATGTCCGTGGGTAAAAGGGTGAAAGGTAAGGAAGTAGCGGGGGGGGGGGGAAGGAGGGGATGCTGAGAGGGCAGGGGCATGGGGAGGAATGGGTAATGGGGCAGCAAGGGAATCTGTGGGAGGCGTGGAAGGGGAGGAAGGTGGAGGAGGGTGAGGCGTCGGGGCAGGAAGAGGTGGGTTATATGTAAAGTCCAGAGGGGGTGGGATGGGTAGGGTAGGCGAAGAGGATGGGATAGGAGGGTGAGAAACGGCATAAGGGAAAGTACTTTCGTGAAAGATGACGTCACAACTAGTGAAAATGCGGTGATTGTCGAGATCGTAAAGGGTATAGGCCTTTTGTCCATGAGGATAACCGAGAAAAATGCAACGATGAGCCCGAGGGGAAAATTTGGTGGTGGGAGTGACAGAGGTGGCATATGCCAGACAACCAAAGACGCGGAAGTGGTCATAAGATGGGGTTTTCGAAAAGAGAACCTCAAATGGGGATTTATGATGGAGAAGACGGGTAGGGAGACGATTGATGAGATAAGTAGCGGTAAGAACACATTCCCCCCAAAACTTGATAGGAAGATGGGATTGAAAACGAAGGGCGCGAGCGGTTTCAAGAAGATGACGATGTTTTCTTTCAACAACGCCATTTTGTTGGGGGGTATAAACACAAGAAGTTTGTAAAAGCACCCCATGATCAGAGAAAAAACTACGAAGAGATAAAAATTCACCACCATTGTCAGTACGAATGCATTGGATGGTAGTGCGGAATTGGGTAGTGACATAAGCAAAAAAATCCTTAATTAATTGTTGAGTGTCGGATTTATGTTTCATGAGGAAGACCCACGTAAAGCGAGAAAAATCATCCACAATGGTTAAGAAATAATTAGCACCAGAAAGAGAAGATTGACGATTCGGGCCCCAAATATCACAATGAATTAAAGCAAAAGGGAAAGTTGATGAAATTGAACTCAAAGGAAAAGGTTGACGAGTTTGTTTTGCCAACGGACAAACATCACAAATATGACTAGAATCAAAAGTGCAATTAAGAGAGCTAGATGCTAAAGCTTGCAAACGAGTGGAGGAGGGGTGACCAAGACGCCTATGCCAGAGGGAGGATGGGATGGTAATGATGTTGCAGAGAGGTTGACGGGTGGGGAGAGAAGAGGTAAGGGCCACAAGGTAATACAGATCGCCACGTCGCTTACCCACACCAATCATCGCCTTCGAAACCAAGTCCTGCAAAACACACCAAGAAGGAAAGAAGGTTATGGAACACGATAATCCATCTGTAAGTTTACCAACCGATAAAAGGTCCACTCGGAAATTAGGGACATATAAAACATCCTTCAAAGTAACTGAGGAATTTAAAGGAAGAGTGCCGGTAAAAGTAATGGGAGCGGAAGCACCACTAGGCAAAGAAACAGGCGGCAAATGTGAAGGAGAACGATTAACCAAACATGAAGCGGAAGAAGTAATATGATCCGTAGCACCACTGTCAAGAATCCATTGACCATGACGAGAGGTGACAGGTAACAAACCTTGGGCAAAATCAGTAGTGAGCACGGCATTGGCCTGAGGAGGGGTGGTGGTATCACGTAGAGCAGCTAGAACACGGGAGTGCTGCTCGGCAGAGAGGTCAGGCATGGCAAGCTGCAAGTCATGTAAAGTGGGCTGGGTCCCGTGCACTTGGTGGGTCGCTGGAGTAGAAGAGGAGGCGGGGGCCTGGATGCCTTGCACGTGATGGGCCTGGGTAAAATTATGGGGCCGGGAAGCAGAAAACCGTGGCTGCTGGGGAGGACTGGAAGGTGCATGGCTGCGGGAAGAACTGGAAGCAGTGGCACGGCGCGGTGGTCGCCACCGTTGGCCATGGAGGGGATGGCCAACGGGATAGCCATGAAGTTTATGGCAGGTGTCTCGGGTATGATAATCAAAATTGCAGTAGGTGCAGTGGAGGGGAGGACGAGTAGAGAAGGGACGGGACGGGCCACAAACAGCCATGGCAGCAGGTTGATCGACAGAGCGGAGGACGCCCAGGGAGCGTTGTTTTTCAGCTTGAGACACCGAGGAACAGGCCTGACGAACAGTGGGGAGGGGATTCATTAAAAGAATCTGGTCACGAACAGCAGCAAAGGATTCGTTGAGGCCCATTAAAAATTGCATGAGTTGTTGACGGTCATGCTTGGCGTTGCAAGAGCACGTGCAGCCATCATTATAAGAAGCAAGCTCATCCCAGAGAGCTTTCAGGCGAGTAAAATAGGCGGAGATAGAAGAAGAACCTTGAGAAATTGTAGCAAGTTCCCGGTTGAGTTGGAAGATGCGTGGAGCATTACTCTGAGAGAAGCGTTCGCGAAGATCATCCCATACAGCTTGGACAGAGGTGGAAAAAAGCACAGATTCTTGAAGGTCAGGTTCCAAGGAATGCAGAAGCCAAGAGAGAATCATGTCATTGCAACGACGCCAAGCCGCGTGAGCATCAGGATCGTCGGAGGAAGAAGGTTCTTGGATATCGCCAGTGATGAAACCAAGTTTATTCTTGGCACTCAAGGAAAGCTGCATGCCACGGGCCCAGGATGTGTAGTTATCACCATTCAACTTCTTGGATACAAGGACAAGATTCGGGTGGTCGGAATGATGAAGGGAAAAAACACCATCGGAAGAAGAAGAGTCAGCCATGGGAACGGCAGAGAAAGCTGCCGAAAAAAAAAAATTAGGGCTAGGGTTATAAACCTGCTCTGTATACCATGTAGAAAAAGGTATGTAGGCTAAAAATATATTTGTTATTGATACATGAATGTGGAAAAATGGAAGAGAATGCAAATGGAAGAGAATGCTTATGGAAGAGAATGCAAATGGAAGAGAATGCTTATTTTTTCATTATGTTTCTCTACAAGATTACAAGGATATATATACATGATACAAATGTGTAGGTAGGACAAGGTAGGACGGCTAGTAGACAAGCTAGGACGGCTAGGAGACAAGCTAGGACGGCTAGTGACAAGCTAGGACGGCTAATGACAAGCTAGGACGGCTAGTGACAAGCTAGGACGGCTAGTGACAAGCTAGGACGGCTAGGAGACAAGCTAGGACGGCTTGACGGCTGTAGGACGGCTTATTCTTCCAATACTAATATTATATACAATTACACAAGGATTCCAACCATATTCCTTATTTGTCTAACAGGCATGCAGCACAGCGGATAGTAGTTCACAAGCCAAACTTGGAAGAGCATCCTTCTCCATCCCCATAATTAAAGATAGAGCTCTTACGAGCTCCTTCCAACTTTTTTAACTTCACTAGAATCCCTTCACAAAAACTATAATTAAAAATATTAGATACATACTTGGATCGCAAGAAACAATACTCTATTTTTTTCCTGAAATTTTACACATTCCTTTGGTGTGGTTGGCCAATATTTGAGCTTTCTATAAAGAGATGGGTAAAAAAGAAGAGCCAGTAAGTCAGACTAGTCCAGTATCTGATCTTCCGAAATCGTATATGCATGCCCGTAGCCTTGAATGGCGTCCGATGTCATAGCAACCTTATCCTCCTCTTCTAATGGAAGTTGAAAGAACTTTGCTGCAGCATCCTTCATGCCCTCATTACTTCTGTTGCCACTCCATGATTTCCCATCTGCAATGAATTAAATTGAAAAGTTAATATCAAATAACGCTAGAGTTACGAAATTTGATCACCAAATGTTAGTGTCTTAATCGTTCGAAGTAAAAGAGATTTAAAGTGGACTCATAATTAATTGAAATGAAAGTTTCGACATAACAAAATTTGGTTAAAATGTTGAAATACTCGTTATAATAAAATTATAGCTGTACTCGATATCAATTACCCGGAAGAAACCCCATTCTTTGCAAGACAAGTCTAGTTTGGTAAGCTGCTCCGTGTTCCCGCATGAAAGCAGGGAGAAATCAATGGTAGGAATCTCCGAAGAAAGCTGACACATATGATCCGCTCTTCGGCATTGATTCTTAAGAAGGTATCTTTCAGGGACGTGCAAAGAGTTGATCTTTGCTATTTCCAAAACATTTGGTGTCCGCAGAGACGAGCCAAAAGTCGGGGGCACTACAACCTCCTCTTGCACGAGTGCTACATCTGTGGATGAACCCATGTTCCCTTCTCAAAGTTTTTCAGCTTAAAATTGCATCAATAACTGTAAGCATTCGGAGTTTTATGGACCAGACCTCTAAATGGTGCCTGGTTTAAAGATTCTTTATTTGCGAACAGTTGGAGCTTTCCTTCTGTTTTATTGTATAGGACGCTACGCAACTCTGCTTCGAACACTTATTGTCGAGCTAATCCTATCATGTGCACGTTAGATACAAAGAATTTTGGTTAAAACACTGACAACTACAAAACCAACAGGAAACTGCCGTCTAAAGTTGTTTAATTTCTTTGGAGTATTAGCTGAAGGTTCACTTCTTTTGGTTACGTATTCGGCGATGATAATTTATGTAAAGCGCAAGCATTAACAGTGATGTAATCTGGTTTTAGCATTACTCATTTCTTTAAAAAGTAAATCCAATCTTCTCAAGAAAGAAAAAACAGAATAACAACAGTTTCTTCCAAGTATAGCCATTGGCTACATCCTTTTCAGCCATTCCTCAATGGGGAGGGCAGAAAGTGATGACATACCGCGAAGCACGGCATTTGTTAAGGCTGGAGGAGTCATCAAAGGCATAACTATAAGCCTTGGGGCATATGGCCTTAAACAGATGTGCGAAAAGGGTCGGTTTGCAAGTGTTTGGGTTTGCGTAGCTTCCTGTGCAGCAATACTTCGCAGACTGCATAGCCAAGCAGGCACTCTTACACCCGACCACCCTGCCTCCTCTCCTCACTTCCAACGCAGATGGGCAGCACACGTTCAAATCAACCACGCATGAGGCAACACCGCACCCTATTCCCCCACCAACCGGCTTCATTGACACGGGCAAGTTAAAGCCATCAACCAAACTCACATCATAGAAATGCAGGGGTGAAGTTGATGTTCCCAGCGTCATTTCAACCACGGTCGCTGGAGGCACGCCTCCTTTTCCTTGGCAATGCAATTGGCCAAAACAATCGCCGGTCTCACAGTTGCCTTTTCCATTACTGTCAAAGGAGCAACCCTGCCTGCCCCATATTCTTCCTGACCACTTCTCAGGTACATCAAGAACTGACTCCTCGCCGCTGCCAAGATGGAAACCGCCGCTTTGAGGAGTGTCTACGCCTGCACTGCCGAGTATACCGGGCCATATGCTTTCATTGCAGTTGTTCACTAGAATCAGTTGAGCCCCATCTGAAACAAGAAACGGAAACAAGAAAACACAATTAGAAACCCAAAGAAACGAGGACACAGTGCAGTAAAGGTGGCAATTTCGGACATCACACATCACACAACTTGAAATTCTCACGAACTGAAGACACATAACTAACACAATTGAACTCATATTATATTAATAGATTGATAATTTTTCTCGTTTTTATCATTTTGCATGTTGATCAACTATTGAGTTAGACAAAAAGACGAAACTAATATAAATAGATAAATCCGAACACGACCAATCGACATCCCTAAGTAGAAGAAATACATAGAAGAGATGAAGACTTGCTTATAATTGAGATAGAGATTAGTAGATAGAGTATGGGGAAGAGAAAAGAGGAAGTTGGCATTGATTGAAATTAGGCCTGCGAATAGTTGATGTAGTTGAAATGAAAATACTTCTTCAGAACCACAAGCATTTATATATAAGTGGAGACAACATCAAGCTTTTTAAGTGTAACATCCTCTCTTTTGATTTCTTTCTCTTACTTTCATGATGATAAAAGGGCATATATTCATTGCTTCCCATTGAGGGCTTTCTTTTTCTCCCCATTTCCCTGAGTATAAAAAATCAAAAGGAAGAATATAATCCATTTTATAAATAAAGAAAGCATTAACAATAAAAAAAAAAAATGAAACATAGTCTTAGGATGCAGAGAGTTAAAAAAACCTTGATTAAGTTCATAAGAATTTGAGTTGATTGGCTTATAGAAATTGGGTTACTCCACATTGTTTATTGGTATTGGGTTGAAATCTCAATTCTTCAGTAATATCAGAGTAGGTTAACCTAAGCAAGGGTGGTACTATCCACACACATCTCATTATTTTTCACATACCCTCTTAATTTTCAGTGCGTTGGATCAAATGAATTGGAAAGATCAAATGATATAAATTAAAAGAGGGTGCGTGGAAGATAAAACAGAGTATGTAAATACTACCACCACCTAAGTAAATATCAACGCCTATATGTGCCACCACCTAAGTAAATATCAACGCCTATATGTGTTCCACGTCACTCAAAAAATTTAAGAAAACCTCTTTGTTAGCAATGGGGTGTGAATGCATAGACTTGTAGCCGTATGATCTATCGTTTTATAACTGCTGAATCTCAATGTTCACATTTAAGTATTTAATTTTTAGATATTCAAATGCTCTGTTGCATTGTAGAAAAACTAGATGGCGGTGTTCTTCAAAAAAAAAAAAAAAAAAAAAAAAAAGAGCTAGATGGCGGTGCGTTCTGAAGCCGTGGGTAGAAATGGGAAATGATAGAAAAACATGAAATGCGAAGTTGAATGAAGCAACTGTTATTCGGATTACGTGATCGTCAATTTATCCTGTGAATCAAATGCCTTTAGAAGCAGAGTACTAGGAAAGGGCTAATATGATCACTATTTTTAAATTACAAGTAGCAGCAGTACTTAAATGAAAAGTAATATTTCTGTTGGACGTGAAGCTTAAAACACAGCCATGCACCTCTTTATGTTAAATCATCAAATCTTTCTTTTGTGTAGAACAAGCAGCTTTTCTGAATTTGACATGAATCTTGGGAAAAAGGATCCTCTTTTCCTGAGATCCTAGAGATCTTATGATCACGACAGTTTATCGTAAATCGTATGATCAGTTTTCGTTATGTACTATTTATATTTTTTTTTTAATTTTTAATTTTAAAATAATTTCTAATCGCACGATATACGATAAACGGTTTCAATCACATGATCTTTTAAGATCCATGAAAAGGATCTGGCCGGAATTCTTTTCCGAATCTTAGTGAGTGAAAAAAGTTTGGTTTGTGTATACAAACTAGAAGCTAATACTTTTAAAAATAAAAAATAAAAATAAAAATAAAAAGTCAAAAGTGAATTCATTCACAACCCAACAACTATACAATAGGAGGCTCAATTACAAGCCAAGCACAAAATAAAAATAAGGCCTCCAAGCAAAACAAAGTCCAAACAGATAATTGGGTCCAAACAGGAAAACAAAAAAGACAACAAGCCAAAGTAGCTTTAGGGATGACAATTCAAACAGTAAAACCTAATAACCGTGGATAACCATTCAAACAGAGCAGATTTGGGTATAAAAATTTGGGTATATAATGGATATGGGGAAAAACCGTAAACTTTAATCGGTTATAGGTTTGGATATGGTTATAGGGGTATACACAATATATATACATATATATATATAATGTTTATGGGAGATATCAACATAATGCTTATGCATCAAACCCTATATTATATTCATTATGCACAAACATAATGGTAATGGGAGATATCAAAGCTCACATCATCAATATTTTATTCAATACGCTTATTTTTATACTTTACAAAATTCATTCATTGTTATGTTTTTTATTATTAGACGTGTTTGTTTAAAGATGCAATTAATATCTACTAAATTATTGTGCACCAATTGGATGAATATAATTTTTTGTTTTTGACGAAGATGGATATAACCTTTAACCGATGAAAAATCCGTTATCCCGTAGGTATGGTTATAGATAATCCCCGATGATTAATTTACGATTATGGATATGGTTAATTTTTGTGGTTATAGGGGTGGATATAACATTTCCGTCCCCAAACTGAACTGTTGCTATCTCTAAGCATCCTGCACCACAACCGCCATTGATCGGAATCCACGATTGTGCACCTCCATCCCCGGCAAATACTAGAGATCTAGCCAACCAATGTCCCATAAGTGGTGGAAAAGAAAGCTCCAACCTTCCTCCATCAAGCACCAAATAGATCTAAGCCATATATTATGGTTTGAGCCACATATTTAATGAAACCAGAGGGAAGGAGATCCCACCAGTAATAATGCCAATAAAGGCATACACATGGAAGGTGGTGGTGTTTCCACTGAAGCCAGAGTTGTACGCACATTCAGAGAGGTTCGTGACAAGTCATGTGAAGAAAAATGGTCTGCAGATCCAAAATTGAGTGAGATAGAGGAAGGACAGAGCAAGGTATAGGCTGGTGAATGAATAGAAATAAGGATGTGAACGGAAACTGAGATTGGAAGAAGAGGAGATCAGAGCTAGGAGTGCAAGTAAATTGGGTCGAAACAATGGAGACAAAACATACAAGCACGTAGGAAAAAAAAAAAAAAAAAAAAAAAAAGAAGAAACGGGAGACAGCCACCGACCCTGGACACAACCATGGCCGACAACGGAAGAGGGAGCGGGAGGAAGTAGTTAAAAACAAACTCTCACAAGTAAGGATGGCAACAGTTCGGTTTAGAGACGGCAATGCTATATTCATCCTCATAAACATAAAAATTAATCATACCCATAACCGCAAAATAACCATCAGGGATTATCCATAACCATATCCACCGGGTAATGGATTTTCAATCGGTTATCGGTTATATCCATCTTCGTCAAAAAAAAAAAAAAAATTAAATTCATCCAATTGATGCACTATAAATTTTAGTAGATACTAATTTTTCCATTAAATAGCCACATCCAATTACAAAAAACATAACAATATATATTTGAAGTTGTTCATAATAAGCCAATTTGATAAATTGGTCCAATAAAAAAGAAAAAGAGGACAAAAACAAATACGAGGGAAGATAAAACATGTAAACTAAATATATGACAACAAACAAGAAGACAATTATTGTTTTAATTTTGCATAATTCTATGGGCTCATAACATATGTAATAAACTGAAAAATTGACACTAATTGATAATTTGCATGAATCAAATAACATGAAAAAGAATGAAAAATTACCTATTGAGCTTACAACATGCCCCAATTTCTTGATAGTGAGACTCTTGAAGAGAGATGAATCTGATAAACTTGGAATATTTGATAATTGATATATAAAATGATTCAATGAATTAATTTGGTTGAGTATAACAATAAAAGTATTGAATTGATGAGGTTGTTGGTATGTTCCATGTATGATGTTTGGTTCATAATAAAGATAGTATAGGGTTTAATACATGCATAATGAATTAGTACTATAAGGATAGGAATAATTGAATAAGTTGTAGGCATGATTCCAAGACTTCAAAAGGCATAATTGAATAAAATATAATATATATATATATATATATATATAATAATTCGGATCGGATTTGGGTACGGATATGGATTGGGTACCTCTATAACCATATCTAAAACCATAACCGAATAAAGTTAACGGTTTTTCCCCATATCCAAACCATACTCGAATTTTCGTATTCAAATCCAATCCATTCGGACGATTATCCACGGTTAACGAGTTTAACGGTTAGAATTGTCATCCTTACTCACAAGGGAGAAGGAACTCTCACGAAGGGAGAGAAGAAACTCTCACGAAGAGGATAGACAAGGATCAAAATTATGTATCCATGTCGGGTTTGTTGAAGATTTTTTCAGTCGAATTAGAAGGAATCGAACTCATAACAAATTTTAATCTTAACTTATTATCACATTCTTTCAGTACTTGGGCTAATTTGAAGGGCAGCTTTCTTAAAACATAACAATTATGAACATATCAACAACTAGGAAAAAAAAGAAGAAGAAGCAATTAGCCCTTTAACGCAGTAGTGGAATGGTGTTCAATCCTTACATGACGGCGTGAGATTTCTAACATTTAATTTAACAAAATCTATAAATAAATAAAAAAAAAAAGGTAAATTAACTTTTAATTTTTTGGCCAAAGGGTAAATGAAAGTATGTAATATCTTTCAAATATAATTAAATTCCAGGGACTACCTTCTAAAATAAAATAAAAAATATTATAAAGTTTCAATTTTAACCAGTTTAGGGTTTTTGGATAATCCAATTGAGGAAGAGAAATCACATCTCCCAAAATGATTCGCACCGCAGTTAAGCTATCGCTATCTGCGGCCACTGTCAATCGAACCGCCAAGCTCGGGGTCTCCATCCTTCATCGATCACCGCCGTCCAGACTTGTCCACGACGGGATCAACGGCTTGAACGCCAACCCCGTTGCTCTTCAGATGATCAACTACGCTCTCTCTCACGCTAGGTCTCAGAAATCAGGTCCTTTTACAATCCGGTCATTTGAATTTTTGAATTTGTTCATAAAATTTTGAAATTAAATTGTTTTAATTTGAAATTTGGATTGTGGGAAATGTAGATGAATCGTATGCGCAAGGTGTGCTTGTACTGGAACAGTGCCTTTCGACTCAGCCGAGCGAAGGGCAAGACCCTGCTGGTGATAATTCAAGGGGAATGGTGTTGTTGGCCATGTCCACTTTATCATCTGAAAGGTTTCTTTTTTATCTTTTGGTGTTTTTCTTTTAATCTCGTACTCGCGATATCCTACTTTAAACTAATCTAAATAGCGGAGATGGGGATTAGAACTCGGGTGCGTATGGGAACATCCGCTCTAGCCAAGTTTGTTTGTTTTGGGTGATTAGATAACCCAATTAAGTTTTGTGTTTGATGGATTAAGAAACTCATATTACTTGAATTTCAAAATTTTAGAGGAAATTTCGGTGAAGCAATGGAGAAGCTGCAAAAGGTTCAAGATTTAACCAACTCTTCAGTTGGTGTTAGAGGTAAGATTATTATTTTACATTTTTTTTTTCATATATTTGTGAAGTTTTGCCTTAGTACAATGACCTGTTGACTAATAAACCATTCTGGGTTTTGTTAAAGTTGCCGCCTTGGAGGCTCTTGTCGGACTTCACTTAGAGTTAGAGCAGGTAAGTCAACACTAAAACGATTAAAAATATTTATTTGTGTTGTTTTGTAGTTAAATATGTAAATGGTTCTCCCTATATAGGATGATACTTCATCAGTGCTCGCAGATAAATGCTTAGAACTGTTGGAGAACAATGAGCCCGGATCAAATGGTGGAGATTTTATAAACACTCGCGCTAGAGCAGTAAAAGGGCTTGTTGAACTTGTCCATGGTAATACTGCATCAGGTACAGCTGAAGGCTAGCCCTTGTCTATTTATATACATTTGCTTCAACTAGTACACTGCTGAGAGTCAGGAAAGAAGGAAAATTCTGAATTTGGGTTCTCTGCAGCTGAATCGTTCTTTCAAGGACTTAAGGACAACCTGGCAATCACTGGTGAGGTTCATTTTGTTGGTGATGGTTATCAGTGCCTCTAAATCATTCAACATGAGATGATTAATTGAAAGCTATGTAGGTAGTACTGCTTTATCCTATGGAGAATTCTTGCATGCAACGCAGAACTTTTCGTTGGCAAAGGATGTCTACCAGAATGTTATTCAAGGGGTGTCCAAGAACGAAGAGTATGGTGACCTGAATGCATTAGCAGCCTGTAATATGTCTGCTGAGGAAGTTTCCCTAGCCGCCACATGTGCTTTAGGACAACTTGAGGCTCACTTGGGGTAAGTTCTTGACTACTGTTGACCCTATCATTTTTCTGTTTAGAATGGTGGAGAGTTTAATCTTTGATCTTTTAGGAACTTTGATGATGCCGAGGAGATATTGACTAAGGCTTTAACTATAACCGAGGAACGTTTTGGTGTGTTTCTTTGGCATTACTTTTGTTGTGACTGGTATGGAATTTTCCAGAATTTTTATATAACGATAAGTTGGTATCCTTTTGGTTCTTTGATTTCTGTGTAGGCTCTCGTCATCCCAAGGTTGGTGTTATTTTAACCTGCATAGCTCTCATGTTTCGACGCAAAGCAATGCTAGAGCATTCTAGTGCTCTTTTGATTCAAGAGGTTGGAACTTATACTGTATATTATAATTCTAAACTTAGGAATCTTGCATGTTCTTGCTAGTATATTTCTATGGCCTTATTCTTAACTCTTCCACCCCGAAAAATAAAAATGACAGGGACTTTATAGAAGGGCAATAGAGTTGCTGAAACCCCCACCATTGGACTCAGAAGGTATGCATTAACTGTGCCATAAATTTCTCCATATGAGAGCCGGTAATAATTGCTCATTGCTCTTTATTGGGTTGTGTAGGTACAGAAGCAAAGGTAGATAGAAGTGATATAGTGGCCCTTGCAAGAGGTAATGGCTAAACATCCGAATGTTTCCTCAACATGAGCATATTAAATTATACCCAAGCAATGACTATTTTTAGAAAATCAGCCTTGATTTCTTACAATTGGGTTTTATTCCATAATGTTATTGTTAACCAGTTTCCAGTCGATCAAATCTAAGCATTGTTTCCTGCACCTGATTGGTGTGGCTTATACTGTAAAATGAGAATACATTCAAGTAGAATAGGTCTCTCTGGATATTTGGAAACCTGTAATGGCTGCAGATGTTTGACGTGCTGACCTTTTAATCTAAAGATTATAACCAGGTTATCTGCATTGATATGGTTGATTGATTGTGTAGGTGGGTATGCTGAAGTGCTTTGTATCCAACAGAACCGAAAGGATCAAGGTGAAAAAGCAAAGAGTTGGGCGGAGGCTGTATGGAGGAACCGCCGGCTGTCATTGGCCGAAGCACTGGACGTATCTAATACTAGTTCAGCAGTTCCAATTATAGATGCTCGAATCAGCAGGGTCCTGTAATGTCGTCATTCCCAATACTTGCAGTCGCAGTTGGAGGTTCTCTGGTGATATACATCACAAGGAATGAGAAGACGTGCTCCCATTCCGTCTTATGCCCTTTGCACTCGTCAACGATGCAGCAAATATGTGAGGATATGAACCAAGCATATCTTTACACCATGTGACATCTTGGCATGAATGTAAACGTTATGTACCTGTTTTCGGATAATGTAAGAGGTAGCTACGGTGGCCACTATATATAGGTGAGATGAGCAATCCCTCGGAAATAATTGTGCTATCAAGTGTGAGTTTCGATTGACCTAAACCAGGAGCATTACAGATTCTATGACGTGCATTGGCCGGAAATCGGGAAGAAAGCGTCGTCGGGTTGGACATAAAAAGTTGGGAATATCGTAAGTGTCCTATATTACAAGGGACAGATCTTCACGCATTAATTGAGGTACAAAACAGAGTTATACCCACGTAAGATGAAGCACAAACCGCAGTTTAGGCACTCTTCTAAAAATCCCGGCTTAGTGCTGTCTAGGCCTTGTCTAGGTTCTGGCTAGGCGTTTGAAAATTAAGAAAGAGCGCCTACATCTGCTGAGATGCCTGCCTAGACTGTCTAGACACCTGCCTAGCCCGTCTAGACCAGCTTAGGCACCCGTCTAGGTTGTAATCCATTTAGACAAAAAATAGATATCTTTTATTTTATATTTTATTTTTCTCAATAAATTGTAAAAGACTTGTTACAAAAAAGATCGCATCTTACTTTTTAAGTAAATACCCAAATTGAATGATCACAGAGGAATATCTAATCCTTTTCCAATCTCCACTCCAATCAACTGCAGTATTCCCTTGTTCAATATCTGAAAATCATGAAAGCAATATTAAACATATCAGCAAAAACTAGTACAGTGAAGTTAATTACATTTTCTCGACAACTGTAACGACGAAATATCAATACTAAACCATAAAAACGCAAAAGAAGAATAATTTTACCAGTTCCACTATGAAGGTTCCAATAAGTCCGATCATACATGCTCTAGAATTCCATATTTCTGCAGTCCTGGTGAATCCAGCAAAAGGGGCCTTAAACTTTGGCTCTACTTTTGGCACCACCACCTGCAAATTTTGATCCACATTAATCTACCTTCTCACAATTATACTTGTGCAACAAGTTCTAAAATTTCATTCGAATTATAACACCATGAGAAAAAAAAAATGAAGAAATGGATGACCTGTTTGGAAATCGCTTTTAAACTTTCAGATCACCAAAAACGCTTTTCACAATAATTAAAGAGAAAATAAACTTCTCAACGTGCTTGTAATGAACATAAGTGTTTTTTAAAGAAGCACTTCCAAACCGGCCCTAAGAACGTACCCCAGCAGGAAGCTTGGCAGCTTGAACTGTGAAGGAACTGGCACGCCTCCTGGGAGCTGGGCAGAGTTGCTGGGTTTGAGGATTTGCCGTTAGAACCCTGATGGGGAGGAGAGAAGATGAAAGTATGGTAGATGAAGTTGCCATGGTTGTATTTTTAATTTTTTATTTAGTTTAATTGTTCTTTTGGTTGTGATATATCGCATGCTCTCAAGCTATGGCTTCTTTGCAATACTTATCTACTTCACCCCACACAGAACAATTGGCAAACAACTTTCCACGTCCACGTAATTCTTTCGTATTTTGTGGGGGTATCAATTGACATCGATTTATGCCAGAAGTTACTTAACATATGTATTAGGCCCTGGACTCTCATTTTTGGATAAAAACAAGAATTAATTGTAGGCTTCATTTCACGTCAAGTTTCACCGATTTAAATCGTTGTTTTTTTTCAAGTTGTACTTCATAAATAATTTTTGCAAAATATTAGGCAAATCGAAATATTTGATGCATTTAATTGAGTTCAAAAAATTTTTGACAAACACTTCATTCTCTAAGAAACAAGGAAGTTTCAACGTGATAATTAAATAAGCAAATATTTGAGACATCTAATTGAGTTCAAAAAATTGACGAATATCTATTTACCAAGATGTATTATGTTGAATTAATATATCTAAATGTCTACTGAAATGGATATACTAAAATATATTAAATGAATAAATGTACCTAAATGAAGAACACAACATGCATCGAAATATTATATGAAACATTAGTTTACCTAAATGTTTACAAAAGAAATATTTTGTGACTAATGAAATGAAAATTAGGATGTCCAAAAAAACTTTAGTTTTAATGAAAAATAACAAATGAATGTGTAGTGAATAGTATCATGGAAATGTAAAAATGTGGTTTTTCGTTAAAAGTGAATAGTACCGGGAGTGTTTCGTTAAAACTCCCTAGGAACTTTAACCAAAAGCTCCCGGTACTATTTACTTTAACGAAAAACCACATTTTTATACTAAAAAAGTTAATTATGGTACTATTTATCTTATCCTTTATTTTGTCCTTATCGTTAAAACTCAAAGTTTTCAAGCACTTTTCATTAGTTTTCCTTAAATTTAATTAATACATTAAAATTGGAAAGAAAAAAAGAATAAAATGACAGAGTAGTTCGCTAATGTGCTTGTACTGATGGTGGTTTTGGTGGTCGGAATGGCGGTGATGACCATGAAAATGCAATGATCTTATAGGCAAAACTGATGATGAAGATGGTGGTGATGGCAAAACGGGTACTGGTGGGGATGGTGACAACGACTAAAATGGTGAGAGTGGTGGCAATGCCTATAAAATGTGGTGGTCATCAGTAGCGAAGCCACGTGGGAGTGAGGAGTGGCGGCCGCCACTCCCCTTGCCGGAAAAGCAAGACTGGAGCCCTGGTTTTGCCCCTCCCCTTGCCGGAAAACCCAATGGTTCTGCTGCTACTCTTCGTCTCCGGTCTGTTTGGTTTTGCTTTATGTGCAGCAGAGCTTTCATTTTATTTATTTTTTTAAAACAACCAGGCCAAAACGACGTCATTTTGGTCTTGGTAAAAAAATTTTTAAAAAAAAAAAGTCGAAACGGCACCGTTTTGATAAGTTCGAATCGCGTGTCCCCCATTTCATTTAGTTTCTCAGCCTCTCAGTCTCCGTGTCGTTTTACCCTTTAACCTCTAATCAAAACAGCAAAAGGTGCAGCCCTGCTCCCCAATTCGAAGCAAAAAAGGGAACAGAAATTCCCAGTCACCACCAACCCACCGTTTGGTGCCCCAGCCGCCAGCCACTACAAGGCAACAACTCTTTACTCCAGCCGCCAGCTTCCAACCTTCAAAGCCACTCTTTAGGTAAATTTTTTAATTCCTAAATTTATAATCCCTAACCCTAATTAATTATTTAAAACGAATTTTGTTTAATTGGTATAGAATCATATGGTAATGCACTCAATGCACTAATATGGTTATTGGTTATTGATATGATTCTATGATTCTTGATATGAAATTATGAAATTATTTTTTAGGGTAAAACTTAAAATTTGGATTCTTGATTATTGATTGATTAATTAAATTATTACATAATGTATTATGTTTACAATTATTCATATGATTAGTTGAATTGAATTTTTATTTATCGAATAATTTGTATGCTTATTGGTATTGATTAATTGAATTGTTGGTGGGATTGGTTATTATGCATACTATAGTATAGTCTACTCTAGGATTAAGAGTCTAAGAATTTTTTTTTTCTTTCCATTTTATTGTTATGTAATGGAACAAATAGACAAGAAACAATGCTTAAATCCTCCTTCAAACATTTTGGGTAGTCATTCTCCTTCAAATATTCCGAGTAGTCCTCCTCCTCCTTCAAATATTCCAAGAAGTCCTCATTCGAATATTCCGAGTAGGTCACAACAAAGTAAGGCCACTGAATTGGATGAAATATTGGCTAATCTTACTGCAGATTTAGTTGTTGTCGTTTTTCTTTAACCTTGCACTCTTTTAAGTTCGCCCTTCCCCCCAAGAAATTCTGGCTTCGCCACTGGTGGTCATTGAGGTTGCGGCAACGATGACTATGGTGAAGATCATAAGAATATGGTGATGGTGACGGCGGTGGTGCAGTTGGTGGTGGAAGTGTAAGACTGGTAGTTGTGAATATGGCGATGTTGGCAACTTAGCACGTATGGTTGAGTTTTTTTATTGTTTATTTTTAATTTCAAATTTATTTTCCTCATTCAAACAAAAGTTAAGTTTCAAACATTTCTTCAAAATAAAAAATATATTTCAAGCTTCCCAAAATAGCATGTGCAAAATTGAGGCGATAATGTGCAAAGCGAAGAGTCAAAATTTTAAAACCCAATTAGGAAGGTAAAATTTCAACTTGATGCTTAGGTTTAGAAGTTAACTAATTTAAGTACAATCTAGTAGTATTTATCTCCACTTGTAAGTTAAAGATCATAAGTTTGACTCTCGCCGATTACATGTTTGATGCCAAATTATATGGTATACTCATTGTGTAACTTAGCTAAAAAAGAACGGCTAAGCGGATTCTTTCAAAAGTGAAACTCTCTGTCACTTCATGGTTTAGCGTCAATTTCATGCCAGCATTATAAACACTAGCATATGGGCACACACAAAGTGTGTGAGAAATTTTTTTATTTTTGTTTTTGAAATAGAAGGAGAGAGGAAGAGAGTGATAGAGAATGTGAGAGTGAGAAGTTTTTTTATTTTTTATTTTTTTTTGTAAATTTTTAATTAGAAATATGTTAGGATTATATGTAGGTAGGGCTTTGAAAAAAAAAGTAAAATTTGGTTGTGTGAAATTACATTTATGCTCCATATTTCTTATTCATGTTCTGTTTTAATTAGAGGGTTAAACTGATAATTTCGTAGAATTTTTGTGACAGCCCATCCCGGACTTTTCGTACCGTAGGGGTGAAATGACGGTTTTGCCCCTAGTATGGTTTTTCGTTGTGTGGTTGTTTTTGAGTTTTGATTGGTGGAGTTTGGACCACACACACACCCTCACACTCACCTTCATCCCTATCCCTGTCCCGAGTCCCTCTTTCTCTCCCTTTCCTATTCTTTTCGTACGGATGACACCCAAAACCCTTGAAACCTTCACAGATCGAGGAAACAAATTACATATTCGTGCTCGTGAGGTCCTTAGGAGTTCAACCATACCCATTTCAGGTAAGGATACCTTCGCTTTCACGTCGAACTCAGGATCCCCCGATTTGGTCACTGTTCATGCACACATTAATTCTTGTGTTTTTGGGAATTTCAAGCTTGTAGGAAGCTTGGTGAGGTCCTTAGGAGGCTTGGGGTGGTTCGTTTGAAGGTTTTGGACGTCGGGATTGTGAGTTGTAGGTTTAGTTGAAGTTGGTGGTGTTTTCCCGACGAGATTCCGTGGGTTTTAGTGCTTGAAAGTGGTATGGATTTGTTCCTCTTGTTGTAAGCTTCATTTTGGTACCAATTTTGTGAAATTTGGTTGAAAAACGAAGAAGATACAAAGTTTTAAAAATTTCCCGGTTTTCCCGCGGCAGCGACGGCATCGCAGTTTGGCTAGAGAAGATGGCGGAATATTCCGTTAGTTTGGACGGAATATTCCGTTACGATGTTAACGACATCAGTTAGATTTAACGGAATATTCTTGACGGCGTTAACTGACGCCGTCAGTGTGCCAGGCACGTGCTTGCGCGTGGATGGCGAGTTTGGCCGTGCTTTGGCCAGCGCATGGGGAATCGGAAAATTTTTCTAAAAATATGGGGATGTTCTTAAGGTTGAGTAGATCACGTTGGTGTATTCATACACCCCATTTGAGCATTGTATGAAAAGTGATTTCGTATGGTTGGTTATGTGCTTTAAAATTAACGTTTTTATAGTTGTTTCGCATATAGGTGAGACCTATCCTGAAGACGAGCGCGGTCACTCGAGGCAAGGGGGTTATGACCCTTTTACATATCAGTGAGTGGGCTTTTGGTTTTCCATATATACTTATATACCTATGTTTTTCCCAGAAAGTGAAATGAAACGTTTATACGTTTATATGCCATGCATATTGGTTGCCATTTATTTATGCATTATTAGTTGCATATGTATTATGTGTTGGTGCTGCGGACGCACAGGTAAGTGCCGGGTGAGTTATGATTTATACTTATATACAGTAGTGATTTGAGATGCATAGAGAGCTCATAACATGCACCCTCGATGTTAGTGCTCCTGCCCAGAGTTGGACACAGTTCTTCACGTGATGTTTACCTCCCGCACCACACGCTCATCTTGGATCTAAGTTAGGTGCACTGTCCTGTCGTACAGACCATTTTAGGTGGTTCCGACTCGTAGGTGACCCGCGATTATTCGCCCAGCCTTCACGTGATCGTAGCACTTGAGCGTACTTATATTACACCCAATCTTGTCGTACATACCACTTTAGGTGGTTCCGACTCGTGTGCAAGTATAGTTAGTGAGATGGAGATTTGAGCTCTAGATTCAGCCGTATAGGTCATGTTAGGTGACTTCGGCTGACAGATTACATGGTATTGATTTGACATTTCCTGAGCACTTGCATTCTATTTAAAGGCATTTGACATGGCATATTTTCGAGCATGACTTATATATATGTATATTCTATTTTCTGTGAAGTACACATGTTTTACAGCGAAGGGTTAGAACTTTGTTTAGGAAAT